GGAAGGAGGAGTAGCTCAGAAGAGACCCCCGGAGACATCCCCACAGCAATGCTAGAGTTTTACCCTGAGGCATCCCTCTGCACTTTGTCTTTCTCCTGCCACTCCCCCAGGGTCACTCAGCCTTGTCAAAGTCCTTTCAGGCTGACTCCCATCATCCACTCAGCCTTCACTACTCATTCCTTCACATTCAATGCCTCCTGCTCCTTTCCTTCATTAAACTTCTTCTCAAAGCTACCAAACATCTCTTCTCCTGCCCAGAACATGACAAATACTCTATTTAAAATGTATTTTAGCAAACAAAATAAACAAGCCATATTTTAAATGTGTAGAATGTTTTCTCCTGTGTTTGGAATACTACTTATCATGCACTACTATAAATGTTCAATATGGTCATATCTGCCTTCTGGTATCCATTTTATAGCCTCTGGATTTATTCAATTTCATTTTCACTTATTTTGTAATTAATACCACATAATTTGTAACTAACCACATTGCTTAAGCATAATACTGAATAACCTCTTAACAAAAAAACCTTTCAACAGAAAAGACTGCAAAGCAATCCTTTGGAAATTCAAATCTATTTCAGGTTCTCTGATCAAAACATAGCTTCTTTTCTTATGCAATAAGATTGCCATTTTCAAATTAAACAAAGTTTAAATTCTTGCCCAGAAGTTAGTTACTATGTCATCTGAATGCACACAGTTCCTAGGAAAATAAGTAATTTCTGAGCAATTGTGAAGAATATCACCTTTTTACTTATATCTGTACACAGTAGTAAGAACCATCCAACAATGAAAAATTACAGAAGTCATTTTGACCATGTTCATCTACAAATCTTGGCATCTAATCTGTGTCCCTATATACTGGTTATGCAGTAAATGTCTGATGGGCTACTAACATATACACATATAGCTACATATTTATAAATTACCATTATATACCCATGAGGCTTTACATATGTTCATTTAAACATGTATATATATTGGTTATGAACAAGACAAGCTTCTCAAATGTGAATGTACTTTTAAATCATGAAGGGATCTTATTCAAGTGCTGATTGTGATTTAGTAGCCCCAGGATAGAAACCAATAGTGCAGTTCTACTAACTTCTCAGGTCATGTTGATTAGGCTGGACCACAAACAACACTTTGAATTGTTATATTTTTACTCCCTTTAGTAGAAAATCATAGACAAATATGCTAATAATTAGAAGGCCCTGTTTCTCAAAGCTCATGTTTAATCATTAGGGAAATAGATGATAATATTCTCAAAGAAAATCAACTTTATTATTAGTCTCAATCCTTCCATAAGTATTTATAGAGTACCTATGCCATCATTCTTCCACACAGCCTAATTAATGGTGAAAATGCAGGAGAGGCTTCTCTGTATTCTTAGAGATGGACAATAAAAAGAGCATGAAAAGCCCAGGTGCACAGGTGCCTGTATTTCCTGAATCAAGAGTGAGGCAGAAGGATCACAGGTTCAAGGCCAATCTGGGCAACTGAGTGACATCCTGTCTCAAAATTAAAAATCGTAAAAAGGCTGGAGCTAGAGATGTAATTCAGTAGTAGAGCACCCCTGGGTTCAGTATCAAAAATAAAAAAGAGAGAGAACACTATAGAGTGATAAAAATACATGTAGGGAAAGGGATGGATAAGCAATTGCTTAAGACCCTGTGCCTTCATGAGGCTCCCAAGCCTTCAAACTATCACCCATGTCTGCCTCTTCTCTGGCTGACAAGTTGAAAGCTACATGTCTCTGGGGCCAACATCAATTTGCTAGATTACAGCATTATCCCACCTCTTCCAGTTAAATATTACATCAAGTTTGATAAAGAAGAAATACCCAAGAAAAAAAATAGTTATAACACTTAAAAACCAGGAAAAATTTTTTTGAAGAATTCTCTTCCTTTCCTGTTTTCCTGAACCTCATCATTGCTATTGCTCATCTTTCTTTGAAACCTATAATGTTGGTCCTAGAGCTTATAATAAATAGTGTGTGCTAGAAGCACAAATGATAAAAGGAGAATATAATATTAAGAATTGCACTTTGTCTAATCCAAAGTACACCTATTCTTCCCTAACCCCCCACCTATTGTGAGTTAGCATCCGCATATCAAAGAAAACATTTGGCCTTTGGTTTTGGGGGGTATTGGCTTATTTCACTTAGCATGATATTCCCCAGTTTCATCCACGTACCAACAAATGCCATAATTTCATTCTTCTTTATAGCTGAGTAATATTCCTGGGTGTGTGTGTGTGTGTGTGTGTGTGTGTGTGTACTTTAGATTAGACCAAGCAGAATGAAGGGAAAGGAGGAAGGATGGGAATAGGAAAAATAGTTGAATGAATTGGACAATACTATCCTATGTGCATATGTGATTAAATGACCAATGAAATTCTACATCATGTACAATTAGAAAAATGAGAAATTATACTCCATATATGTATAATATGCCAAAATACATTCTACTGTCATGTATAACTAATAAGAACAAATTTTCTTATAAAAAAGAATTCCAAGAAATTTATTCTTCACAGAAAAGGAAGTTGAATATTTGGTTCAGCTTTGTGGTTACCATCTATTTGCTACAAAATTCTAACGTCATGCAAAGCCTCAAAGATAATTCGAAACTCACTGAAAACCATTATATCCTTAATAATTCATTTGTTCATAAACAGAGAAAATTGTTATTCTATAGCCAGAGGCATAAACTTAATCACATCTATAATTTAGCATGAATTTATTTTGGTTGTGTATAGTGGCATGTATTTCTCAAACTGGGATACTTATATTAAGGGTGAGGTGCAGCAAGCCAGAGGATATATGAGCTCAAAAGACAAACCTGGGAGTTTTTCTGCATGCTGATTTTAATTAAGATTTAAGGCAGGGGGATAAAAAAAATGTTTAACACAATTGATAATGAACTTAAATAATTATGATACTAAAATAAACATGGAATAGAATGCTCACACTTCATTCATTTAAAAGATAAAACATGAGTTTATCTATTGTAGGGCAGAGGGGTTGGAGGGGAAGGGAGGGGGAATGGGGATATTAATGATGGTGGAATGTGATGGACATCATTATCCAAAGTACAGGTATAAAAACTCAAATTGGTGTGAATATACTATGTATACAACCAGAGATACGAAAAATTGTGCTCTTTATGTGTAATAAGAATTGTAATGCATCTACTGTCATATACATATATATATAAAGAACAATCCACTTTCCTTTAAATGGACTTCACTTCAAAGGACTGACCAATGTAACCATAATTTTGAATGGCAATTAAGTTAAATATTTTTTTAAAAAAAGATAAAACATGAGACTAAAAATAAATTTCTTAATTTGGGGAGCTGTTAAGGTCTGTAAACAAGTCAAGATGGTGCCTGGCATTTTGCAGAGGGAGTGGTTTGTGAAGTAATGCCAGCGAGCCATTAAGTGTGGAGATTCCTTATTGGTTGACTGCTGTATCTAGTTTATGCTAATTAAGATAAGCTGTGTGTAATGTATATATACCCCTCCTGTCCTACAATAAACGGCTCCCACTCCTGCTGTATCAATGTACACAAGTTGCTCGTCACCCCCACCCCCTTAGTTTGCTGCAGCCGGACTGCAGCAGATGGTGGCCTGTACCGGGAGCCCCGGGACACTCAGGGGTAAGTGACGAAAAAAAGCTGCCCGTGATAGGACGGGAGCAAATCTGCTTGTCCCTAGGCAGATAGGGTGAGAGGAAAAATGGCCATTTTGAGAAAATGGAGAAGATTGATACAGGTTATTTTGCTGCAGCTGGACTGTGGCAGGGAGCCATTTCTTCTTCACTTGTAGGTCTAAGAAACACATCTTTTTTAAAAAATAGTGCATTTTAACTATACAGAATAATGGGTTTCTGCTAGGAGCCACAGCAAAAGTATTATGATACATGGCACCTTTGGTTTAGGTGACTGCCAGCTAGCCACTGAGATGATATGATTATGTTAAGATTTACATTCATATGGAAATTGGACTCCTGCTGTTCACCTCGGCCTGTTAAGGGACTCATGTTACGGGACTCCCGGAGAGTTCCCATTGGTTGGGGAAGGATAGTAGGAGGGAATTTCCGGTGGAGGTCCGGGCCCCCGGTTCTGGTGGAGAGACACGTGTGTCTTAGCAGGGCGCACACGGGGACTGGTGGCCTTTTTAAAAATAAAGCTTTGTTCCTGCTTGAGTGGCTTGTGTTTCTGTGCCCAGCCGGGTTGCGGCAGGTTTCACATACTCAGACATGGAAATAACATACCTTGATGATTATTCCCTGCCTTTGACCACTCTGCCCCCCTCTCCCTGATCCCCTTAGTCTCTAAAAGTCTCCCTGCTACTTTCATGTTGTCTCCCTACCACCCAAACTCAGATTCCACATATGAATTCCACCTGGGAGACTTGTCTTTCTGTATTCTCCCTTACCATACAACTCTCCCTGGAAGACTGGTTATTTGTCAGTAAGTGCAAGGACATATTTCTCTGATGTGCTGTAAAGGAAATTAGATCTATTTCTAATTAGAATGTTTTAATCCTAAAAATTTTTTTGAGAATTAGTTAAATGTTCAATGTTCAGTGTCCTGGATTTGAATAAATGCTACAACAATAATACAAGGATAAATTTACTTCACAAATGTAATCACTGGATAAAATTTTGAATTGTYAATGAACACATTTTATAAAATAGTGAAACAAAAAGTTGACAACAAGAGGGAGACTTCTGTCATCAGAGGGCCTATGTGCTGTAGTCCTTCTTCCATTGATCTTATTCAGAAACTGAATATACAGTCAATTTCAGAATAATTTTCTTACATCACTTTAGAAAATCTAAAATGATTTAATATGGTACTTTACATTATAATGAGATTCCAACATTCAATCTTTTCTACTCAAAAAGAAAATACAGAGAAGTCAATCTGGAAAGAAAGGGGAGTTGGGGTACAGGTCTGTTTTTTCAAGACAGAGACCCAGATACTTACAAGGCATTGCATGGTATATGCTTGGCCAGTACTGCCCGCTGTCTCTCTTTAACCAAACACGAACTGTCCTACAATAGAAGAAAATGTGTACATGAAATCACAGTATTTTAGTCACAGGAAAATAGTGATACACAGAAAGCAAACTTCTTAACATTATATACATATTCACATTTTGACTACATATATGTATCTTAACCTTGCATTTTATATACATATATGTACACACATAGGTGACATTACGAATACCTCTAAAAAAACATCCTAGCATCCTTAAATTTAAGGCTTCTGTACATTTAGAATTACATGACTCTTTAAATGTCATCCTCATATATGTATATACACAAGTCTAATCATGATAGCATTTGAAAAGTATTTTCACTGTTTTACTTTTCTAAGGTCTGACCTTTGCCCTCGCTATGGTTTGAAAATGAGGTGTCCCCCACTAAAGCTCCTGATAATGCAGGGATGCTTGGAGGTGAAAGAATTGGACTGTAAGAGCTATAACCTAATCAGTCCCTCCTAGTTTGGCAACTGTAGGCAGGTGGAGTGTAGCTGGAGGAGGTGGGTCACTGGGGCGTGCACCCTCCCATTGGCCCCTTCCCTCTCTGGCCTCCTGCCCCTGCCATGAGCTCAGCAGCCTTCTGCCCCATGATGTGCTGCCTCACCTTGGGCCCAGAGCCATGTCATTGGCCATCTATGAACTAAGACTACTGAAACCATGAGCCTCAAATAAACCTTTCCTCCTCTAAGTTGTTCTTTTTGGGTGTTTTGGTTACAGAGAGGAAAGAGCTAACAAAAACACCCTAGTCTGCTGGGAGCATCCATCTTCCTGGGGGACTCATTAGATTTTTCTAGTGAAGAAAGTGCAAAGAGATCAAATGGAATAATATAGAGCATCTGACACAAACAGAAGGATTACACAGTAAGTCTAAAGACTTGCAAGAGATGCCCTATCCTGAGGAACAGTTTTCCAAACATGGTCAAGCAATGGTAAGGTCTGAGACTCAGATTTTCTGGGGTAGTGGCCGACCAGGGGGCCTACTGTAGAACAGACTGATACTGGAGCAAAGGGTGCATGAAGTTCCAGGTCAGCAGTTCAGATAGCAACCAGGCACCCAGGAGAGCTCAGAAAGCCAGAAATGAAGAGAGACTAGGGAGTACCACCAGGTTCTAACCAACTAGAAAGGCTCAGCAGTAAGTTACACCAGTCATGACATCATCAGCATATGCCAGTAAGGCAAACATAACTGAAGACCAAGGGACATTATTCCAGAGACCAGAGGAAATAGTGAACATATATCAAACCAAGGGCAACAGCATCCCAATGCCAGGAGAACACACAGGCTATACACCTTAGCCCACACCATCCCAGGGAGAGAAGCAGAGACTGAGCATTTATCTCAGAAAGAGTTGACTGTTACCTAATGAGACTTCTGAAGTCGTCATATTGAACTAAGTTTCAAACTGAATTAAATATGCCCCACCCCATCGAATCAGTGAGTCTCCTATAAACCAGAAGCAGGAAATAATCTAGAACAACTATAGACACAATAAAGAAATATGATTTTCTCTGAACAACCTCAGTTATGATATAGTACTATGTAGGGACACATTAGATAGACATGCAAAATTCAAAATGCAAAATTCTTTTTGGTCAACCACACTAATTTGTGAGGTGGACAAGTACAATGGTTACTACTTTGTAAGAAGTAACTCTGAACCTACTCAAATATTTCAGTGTTCACTCTTAAAAAAAATCTTCTTATAGTATATATTATTAGTGTGACATTATAATATTGGTACTATCGTCTTAGTAAGAATCAATAAAGACAAGACATCACAGAAGATGGAAAAGCAGAAACTTCATAAACTTAGTGCCTCCACCAAGTCAACTATTAAGACTGGTAAGAATACCCATTAAGTTGGCAGATTCATCTATTTCAGAACTCTAATATCTACTTAAATGTTAAGTGTCTTGGAAAGTGAAATAAAAAAAGAAAGTGGTAAATTTCAGTGAACACTGGCATTTAATAGTTGCAGTGTCACCCATGCCCCAGCCCATGGCAGCAGACAATGGAGATAGTGGCTCTTCATGGTAGGGAAGTCTGCTGGTGCAGGGTAGGAAGCATATCCTCTACAATTTGATTTAACTGGAAGTTCTCTGAGAGACTGGAGCACAGGCTCCTCATTGTTTCAACTCCCTAGAACCAAAGGGCTTCCTGGGCAGTGTCTTTCAAAAGAAATTGAAGAGATGGAACTTTCTTTTTCCTCATTAGGGCCACAGCAATAACAACAGAGACTTCCATGATCACATACAACAAGGAATACCATCTTGACAAAAGTAGTTTGGAAAAGTTACTAAACAGCTATAGCGTTCAACAAAAACAGCAATCCCTGGAGAGAAGGGTGAATCTGACTCCTAGAGTTATTGCATTATAATATTAAAAATGTGTATTTTTAACAGACAATTGCAGAGCATACAAAGAAAGTATGGCTGATTCACAGAAAAACATAATAAACTGACAGAAAACATTTATGAAGGGGCCCAAACATTGGGCTTACTAGACGAAGACTTTAAATTAGCTGTCCTAAATATAATCAGAGCTGTAGAAACCATAGACAAAGAAATAAAAGAAACTGAGCTAAGGATGTATGAACATATAGGCAATATCAATCAATAGCTAGAAATTATACAAGGGAATCAAACAGAAGCTTTATAAAAATACAATAACTGAAATGAAAAATTCTCTAGAGAGGTCTACTAGAGTTTTGGGCAGGCAGAAAAAAGAATAAGCAAACTTGAAGACAAGACACCTGAAATTATCAGTCTAGAAGAAGGGAAAACAATGAAGAAAAATAAACACAGCCTACGGGACCTTTAACACATCATTAAGTGTACTGACGCTCTATACAGGAGTCCTATAGGAAGAAAGAGAAATGTTCAGAAATGTATTTGGAGAAAAATGGCCCCAAACTCCCCCAAATTCACAAAAGATGTGAATCTACTCATCCAAAAAAACGAATGAATTCTAAGGAGGATAAACACAACTAGGTTCAAACCTAGACTGTGGGGGTGGGGGTTTTAGGGGGGTGGTTTGAGAATTAAACCCAGGGCCTTATACACACTAGGCAAGCATTCTACCACTAAACCACAAGCCCAGATCTGACATATTACAATCAAATTGTCAAATATCAGAGAAAAAAAATCTTGAAAGCAAGAAGAGAAAATTGACTCATCACATATATGAGATTATCAATAATATGAACAAGTCAATTTCTCATCAAACCATGGAGGACTAAAAGAAGTGAGATACTATATTTAAAGTACTCCAAGAAAAAAAAAAAAAGTGTCAAGAAAGAACTCTATATCTAAACTATCTTTCAAAAATGAAGAAGAAACGAAGCCATTTTCAGATAAACAAAAGTTAATAAAATTCATTAGTACTTCACTTTCAATGATGTATAGAGTATCTAGACAGAAGATCAATATGGAATCAGAGGACTCGAATAACACTATAAACCAATTAGACCAAAAGACATACACAGAACACTCCCTTCAACCGCCTTCCTTAAACCAACCTGTGTTAAGGGCAGTTGACAAATTTTTACATCTAAAAATAAAATTATATAAAAAATCTGTTTTTTTGTATCCTGTGATACAACAGCAGTTTAAAAAAGAAAAAAGATACTGCATCCTTGAGATTAAAAAATACAATCTGAATGGCTATAAATTTCCTAAGTAGATGTAAATTCCACTGTACAAAGCCTAGAGGTTTTAATTTTTCTGAACGCATATTTTAAAAACCCTACATAAAGTTTTCAATAGTAAGTGAAAAGTTTTTTCCTTGAAAAAAAATTTTTTTCAGAAAATAATTGTGGCTAAGGAAGAAGGCTTTAACTCATTGTAAAAACACATGCTTAGCATATGTAAGGCCCAGTGTTTGGAAGGTGGGGATACAACTGATTACAAGTCATACCTGAGCCAGTAGAGGTCAGTGGATCTCATTTTCTTGAGGAAGAAAAATGCATGTAAAGCCAGGCAAGTGTTCACTCACCCAACACACAATGCCTTGGGTTCTCAGGAACCCGACAGCGCCAATCCTATCATACTATCCACTTTGTATTGTCCTATTTCCTCTTCCCCTACCTCTTCCTTTCTTCCAAGCTCCTAGCACTAGGCAAAAGCAGACACTGGGGGAGAGGCAATGCTCATCTTAAAAAAAAACATCAAGACAAGGTACCCTTATAGAGGTCTCAATCAGTTCAGCAGCTGGGCTGTTTTGAAAAGAACATACTCTTAATTTTATGTTGGATAAAGCTCACCACAATTCAATAGGTAAAAATGGCACACTGTAACCACAGACAAACAAGCTACCTTTGTTCTCAGGAAGTTCACAGCTTGCTGGGGGAAACAGGTCACAGAACACTACAAAACAAGGTAAGGGCTGCAGTGGGGAGATGGCCCTGCAAAATACAAGAGCACATGTAGGTCTCACTCCAAGGATGGATCCTGGTGGGGTCAGGTAGTATCAGAGGAGGCATCTTTGAGATGATGATCAGAAATACAGGATCAGAATTTGCCAGTGGAAAGTGGAGAGGAAATGAGAGCATGGTCCTGGTAACAGAGCAGAACAGGCAGCCCAGGGAGGCAAGAACAAGCAGCAGTAGTGAGAAACAGGCCTGGACAAAAGAGCAGACAGAAGGCCATCAAGATGCTTGAAGGCCATGCAGAGGAGTTGGAATTTCACTTTAAGGTCAGTGAGATCACTGAGGATAAGGAGTCAATCACATTTGTTTGTTTGGGGAAAGCCAGGAAACAACCTAGTTACCCTCAAGTAAATGGTGTGGAGATGTGAGCAAACCCAGGCAAAACAGGACAAGGGGGCTTGGATGTAAGTGATTAGAGCACTTGCCTAACAGGTGTGAGACTTTAGGTCTCACAAAAAAGAAAAAATCTAAAAGAAAAAAAAAAAAAGGTTGAGTCCTTAAAAGAAGGGTGAGGACAGATTTTAGAACACCCAGGAAGTAGAAGAATCTGGGCTTGGGGGCTGACTGGCTGCAGGTACCA